TTGCTGAGGTTAGACTTGTGACCTAAGATGTGATCAATTTTGGAGTATGTTCCATGGACTGATGAGAAAAATGTGTATTCAGTTTTGTTAGGATGAAATGTTTTGTAGATGTCTGTTAAATCCAAAAGTTGAATAGTTAAATTTAAATCTAAAGTTTCTTGGATAAGCTTTTTATTGGATGATCTATCTAATATTGCTAAAGGAGTGTTAAAATCTTCAACTATGATGGAGCTGGGAGAGATCAAATTGGTCATACTTGTTAGAGTGTCTCTTGAAGTACATTCTGGTTGGATGCATAAATATTGATAATTGAGATCTCATCATATTGAGTATTACCCTTAACAAATATAAAGTGACAATTCTTGTCTTTGCTTACTTTTATTGGCTTAAAGCCTATTGTATTTGCGAATAAAATTGCAACACCTGCTTTTTTCTGCTTTCCATTAGCCTGGAATATAGATGACCATCCCTTCACCCTCAGTCCATATTTGCCTTTTAAGGCAAGATGAGATTCTTGTATACAACAGATGTGTGGTCTGAGTTTCTGTATGCAATCAGCCAATCTGTGCCTCTTTAGGGGACAATTTAAGCCATTCACATTGATTGAAATTACTGATAAGCCTCGTAAAATTTTGGGCATTGAATTCCTTGAAAGTCCAGTAGACATTTTTAATCCTTTCGCCACTGTGGAAGTTGGAGTTTGATCAATAGTTTCTGAGTGAGTTTATTTTTGTGGTGGAGGATTGTACTGGTCATTATGGAGAATAAGTCTGAGAATATTCTGGAGAGCTGGTTTAGTTATGGCAAATTTCTTCAACACATGGATGTCATTAAAGTATTTAATTTCTCCATCATAAATGAAACTCAGTTTAGCTGGATACAGGATCCTGGGCTGAAAGTTATTTTGTTTTAAGAGATTAAATGTTGATGACCACCCTCTTCTTGCCTGATAGGTTTTGGCAGAGAGGTCTGCAGTTGCTCTAATATTCTTCCCCTTGTAGGTTATGGTTTTCTTACGGCTAGCTGGTTTTAGTATTTTCTCTTTCATGTTAACTTTAGTGAAGTTAATTATGATGTGTCTGGGAGATCCTGTATCCAGATAAAGGATCCTATATCAGAATGTTTATTGCAGCCCAATTCATAATTGCTAGGTCATGGAAGAAGCCCAAGTGCCCATCGATCCACAAATGGACCAATAAACTGTGGTATATGTACACCATGGAATATTATGCAGTCCTAAAGAAAGATGGAGACTTTACCTCCTTCATGTTTATATGGATGGAATTAGAAAATGTTCTTCTTAGCAAAGTATCTCAAGAATGGAAGAAAAAGTATCCAATGTACACAGCCCTATATTGAAACTAATTCATAGCTTTCATAGGAATGTCATAACCTAATTATAGCCTTAGCATATGGGAAGGGTTGGGAGAAGTGAGGTGAGGGAGGTGGAAGGGGGGAGGGAGGGTGATTGGTGGGGTCACCTCTATGGTTTATCTTACAAGGGTACAAGTGAATCTTTCTAAAAGCAGAGTATGAATGTCTTAACTCAATAACTAAGAAAATGACACGAAGGTTATGTTAACCAGTTTGATGAGAGTATTTCAAAATGTATATGAAAACAGCACACTGTACCCCATGATTACATTAATGTACACAGTTATGTTATAAGAAATAAAAAAAATTTGTGTCAATTATATCACATTCTTTTTGGATTAATAGAACATAAATATTTCATTTTTTTCCTCCACATGTTTTCCATATCCCAATATTTCCTCAGCAGTCATACTCTCCTATTTTTACTTGCTCACTGGCAAGATAAATGCCATATAGTCATCAACCATTTTAGGTTTTCCATTGTTCTCCATATCCAAGTATGATATAATAAGTTGCCCTCTAACAGGATAGACTCTTATTATGAAAGAATGTTAGTGGTAAGAATCTGAGAGTTCTTTTATATTGATATGTTCATTTTCAACAACTAGGTAAAAGAATTAAGTTCCTTGAGAACCGAGATTGTGCATTATTCTAACTCTGGCACACTACTTAGCTCAGAAGCAGTCATTAAATGTAATGAATAAATTAATGAACAATGAATCAGGGATAAGATTATTTACTCACCTGCCAAGATCCCCAAAGTGGGTATCCTGAAAACAGTACAACAGGAAAATACACTTTTCCAAATACCAGAGTTTGAGAGGCAAGCAAATGCACCCAGAGTATTCCTATGTCGACAGTCATCAAGCCAGTCATTATTTGTATGTACTAGAAGCAAAGAACACCATCATTACTTTCAATCTAACCTTTGAAAGGGATACAAGATATACATTCAAAGAAAAAAGCAAGATGGAGAAGTGTCACAGCCCAACAGTGCTACTGCTTGTCAGGGCCTGGGACTGGTCAGATCTCCAGCCTGGCTTAACTAGGTTCTGGAGTGGACCACTAAGCTACCTTGCTGAAGAATAATTTCTCTTAGGTGACTGAGGGCTATCTACAAGGTGGGGGGAGAGAGAGAGAGAGAAAGAGAGAGAGAGAGAGAGAGAGAGAGAGACTTAGAGTAAAGCAGTCTTAGACTAGATAGATCTTAGTCTTTATAGATCTTAGTCTTTAGTAGAGCTTGGTAATCTTCAGCAGAGACACACTGTGCTGGCATTCTGCAGGCAGGAGAGGAAACAGAGTCAGAGTAAGCAGGTCCGTGATAGAATGAGCATGCTCCTGACTGCCTTCTCCTCCAGCCTAATATAAGGCTGATCTCATTCCTCCTAGCCATTGGCTATATGGGTTGCTACAGGGAAGGAAGGTTATGACCTAACCTTCCTGAAAGTAGAATTTCAGGTTTATGGTTATTTAACTCAGATTAGGAAAATTTGTTATAATTTTAGAACAGTTTATAGCTACTATGACTATGTATATATCCAGTAAAATTACACTAGGAGCCTGTTTATCTGAGGTCATACGATCTGAACCTAGGATCCCAAAAGAATTGATCTTCATCAAGACTTATTAGTACTTGTGTGGTGAACAATCCTTGATCTGAATGGTCAACAATTTTTGACCTAGGTCTACAATCATATCCTGAATATTATAATAGCTCTTATATTCTATAGGTAACTGGATTTGGTATTTCTGACCTTACCTACCCTTCTCTTATCCTACCAAACATAGGGTTTGACTTTGAGTTCTTCTGTTCTGCACACTCTATACCATCTGTAACTGTGATTTGTATCAGTCTTGGATACTTCCTAAATAAAAATAAAAAAGAAAGATAGCAAACCTTTGGAATCTTTAGTTTTCTGTAACTCTTTAAGGGGCCATTACATGGTGTGAGGGTATCAGATATTTCTGTCCAGTGAAGTCATAGGCTAGCTATGATAGTATCTGGGCCATAGGAGGAGGACAATTCTAAGATGCTATGTAGAGCCTTCTAACATTTCACTGTAGTGCCTGTCAGTTGGTTGTCAAATAGATATTTTTCAGGTGTTCCTTTTTCTGCCACAGCTGAATGAGCCAATGTCCTGGCTTCTCCCATTCACATCCACCACATAAACACACAAGTTAAGTTTGAAAAATTGAAGGACATGTATTGGAGTTCAGAACATAGCATCTCTTACCTTACTGCAACTATATTTCTTCTACAATGCCTGGGGACTCTTATAACCTTTTTCTTGTAGATTGTCTTAACACACAGGACAACTTTGACTTGAAGTTTCTAATGGGCTTCTTTCTGGTATGTGATTATGGGGAATGCCAAGAGTTGGTAGAAATACTTCTCTCACAGATTACTCAGACCCTGAGGCAACATAGATCTATGTATGTAGTGGTACTTATAACAGGCTGTGGCAGAGGGAGGAGGCAAGGGGAAGTTTGGGTGGATAGGATTTTTCTCACTACTGCTATACTATGCAGTTTCATCTTCTTGCTTGGCACAATGGCATCTCTGAAGTCTGAGTTTAGTAAAGGATGCAAGATTAAAAAAAACTTTATTTTTAAGTCATTATGGATTCACAGAAATTTTCAAAAATAGTAGCAACATGTCCTTGAACCCTGAATCTAGATTCTCCTAATGGTTACATCTTATCATAATACAATAGCACAATGAGGGAATTGATTTGGATATAATGTGTGTACATAGTTCTATGGCATTTTATCACGTTTATATTTTCATAACTACCAACATAAGATACAGAATCATTCCATCACCACAAAGATTTCCATCATGCTATATCTTTATGATAATTCTCCCTCCCCCAATCTTTAACTTCTGGTATTCAATTCTGGTATTCTGGTAGTCAATAATTTGTTTTCCATATCTAAACTTTTTTTTTTTCATTTTGAAAGTGTTTTATAAATAGAATAATTCAGCATGTACCTTTTGGGATTGGCTTTCTCCATTCAGCAGAATATCCTTAAAATTCATCAAGTTGTTGTGTGTATTAATATAGTTTGTTCCTTTTTTATTTCTGAGTAGTATCCCATGATATAAATGACTATAGTTTGTTTAACAGCTCACCTATTTAGGAGCATTTTGGTGGTTTCCAGTTTGGGTGCCATGACAAAGATGCTGTGAATAGTCATGTATAAGTGTTGTAGACATCAGTTTTCAGTTCTCTAGGAAAAATGCCCTGGTATGCACTTGCTGAGTTTAATGGTAAGTGTATGTTTAGTATGTAAAGAATCTGTCAAACTATTTTCCAAACTGGCTATATCATTTTTATGTTCTAAATAGCAGTGTAAGAGAGATTCATTTTCTCTACATTGTCTCCAGCATTTGGCATTGTTAGAATTTCTCATTTTAGTTGTTCCATTATTTTTTCTGGATTAGGTTACATTGTTTGCATTTGTAAGGTAAAGTCCAAGTTGCAGTTGAGTCTTTTACTCAGGAAGTGTGGCATGTACCCCTACATTGTACCCATTAGGTGGAAACTTACTAAACTACCCCTCCCCCAGCTTCTTGAATTTAATATTTTTTCTCTCATTTGGGCCTGTAGTTATTGATCTACTAGTTTTTTTTTTTTCAGTCTTCAAATATTTTTTATTGGAAGGCCATGCATTGCCTTCATTTATTGTATTTCAAATCACTGTACATTTACTTTTGTGAAAACACTGCCTGCATTTTCTAGTACAAAAAAAAACCTAAAAATTGTTTCAGGAATGTAGAGAAATATCCAACTTAAATAGCGAAAAAGTGCACCATAATTACTGCTGCACTGCAGTCATTTCTGCATTTTCCATGTTTCTTAAATAACTATCTTGTCTGATAACACACAATATAAAGAGCAATTATGAAAAACAGACATTTACATATACTTCTAAAGTCTTATTGAGAATATCCTGTTGGCATTGGATAACCAATCATAGGTGCAGCTGCAGTAGCAGGATATGCATATGCCTGTTGGTTCATACCATTGTGCATATTGGGAACATTACTTCCATACTGCTGAGTGCTATCATAACCATTCTGGTAAGTCCCTGTTGGATTACCAGTCCTAAAACTGGTCTGTATACCAGCAGACACAAAATTACTCCCAAAGCTCCCATTGGTGTAATTTGCAGTACTGTAAACACCATTCTGAGTTTTTGCCCCAAAATCTCTCTTAAGCAGGCTAGAATAACCTCTGTCATAATTCTCCCTGTCTCTAAAGGTATTAAATCCACCCCTTTTGCCCGCTGAGTATCTGTCCCGACGGTCATCCTTCATGCCTCCTCTACCCCTGGAACGACCTG